ATGTGTTTCTACAACACATAGAAAAGGTACAGTAAAAAATACAGTATTGGCTGGGTGCAGTGGTGCATTACTGTAATTTCAGCACTTTGGGAGGCCAAGGCAGGTGGATCAGGAGTTCGAGACCAGAGTGGCCAACATAGTGAAACCCTGTCTCTACTAAAAATATAAAAATTTTGTGGGTGTGGTGGGATGTGCCTGTAGTCTCAGCTACTCGGGAGGCTGAGGCAGGAGAATCACTTGAACCCAGGAGGCAGAGGTTGCAGTGAACCAAGATCATGCCACTGAACTCCAATCATGCCACTGAACAGAGTGAGACTCTGTCTCAAAATAAAGAAAATACAAAAAATTAACCAGGCGTGGTGGCACACACCTGTAATTTCAGCTACTTGGGAGGCTGAGACAGGAGAATTTCTTGAACCTAGGAGGCAGAGGTTGCAGTGAGCCGAGATTGCACCACTGCACTCCTGCCTGGGCAACAGAGCAAGACTCCAGCTCAAAAAAAAATACAGTATTATAATTTTATGTGACCAGCACCATATATGCAGTCTCTCATGACAGAAACATCGCTATGCCGTGCATGATTGTAGATACACACACACACACACACACATACAGTCATCTCACAGTGGTTCCAGGACCTCCCATAAATTCCAAAATCTGTGAATGTACAAGTAAGTCCCTGATATGAAATGGTGGCAGATTTGCCTATAACCTACACATATCCTCCCATATACTCTAAATCATCTCTTGATTACTTATAATACCTAAGACAATGTAAATGCTGCATAAATCGTTGTTATACTGTATTGTTTAAGGGATAATGACAAAACAAAGGTCTGCACATATTCAGTACAGACATTCTTGATCCACAGCTGGTTGAATTCACAGATGCGGAACCCATGGCCAATTGTATATAGTTTGTTTTTTGTTTGTTTGTTTTTGTTTTGTTTGAGACAGAGTCTCACTCTGTTGCCAGGCTGGAGTGCAGTAGAGTGATCTCAGCTCACTACAACCTCTGCCTACCAGGTTCAGGTGATTCTCTTGCCTCAGCCTCCCAAGTAGCTGGGACTACAGGTGCACACCACCATGCCCGGCTAAGTTTTGTATTTTGAGTAAAGACGGAGTTTCACCATGTTGGCTAAGATGGTTTCAATCTCTTGACATTGTGATCCACCCACCTCAGCCTCCCAAAGTGCTGGGATTACAGGAGTGAGCCACTGCGCCCTGCTGTATGTAGTTTTTAATAATAAAATAAATAGGATAATCATGTATTTTATGTTCCTAAAATCCTTTTATTGCCCATAGGCTTTAGCAGACTGACAACAAGAGAGTCTGTGGCACATAGAGAAGTAAAGTAAGGGGCTGGGCCAGCACCAAGGTGGGAGGATTGCTTGAGCCCTGGATTTTGAGACCAGCCTGGGCAACACGGCAAAACCCTATCTCTACAAAAATTTAGCTGGGTGTGGTGGCACATGCAGCTTCCTGTAGTCTCAGCTACTTGGGAGGCTGAGTAAGAGGATTGCTTGGGCCCAGGAGTTTGAGGCTGCAGTGAGCCGTGATTGCGCCACTGCACTCCAGCCTGGCCAACAGAGTGAGACCCTGACTCAATAAAAAAAAAAAAAAGGTAGTGTTCTCACTTTAGTTGCCAGATGGTGGGGAAGTGGAGGGTGACTCCAGGGGAGGGGCCAGGCTAGTCGGCCTGGGACAGCAGCTCTTTAACAGCTGGAAGGTAAGATCTCAATGTTTTAACCACTGGTTTGGCAGTCCCAGCAAGCACGCTGCAGGCCAGCCCAGGAGGGCATGCACTGTGGGTTTCCCTGTGGTATTTAGGCTTTCCTGCTCCAGCCAGGGGCAGGATTCTCATGACACCCCTAAAGAGTCAACGCAGGCCAGCTGCGATGGCTCACGCCTGTAATCCCAGCACTTTGGAAGGCTGAGGCAGGCAGATCACCTGAGGTCAGGAGTTCAAGACCACCCTGGCCAACATGGTGAAACACCGTCTCTACAAAAATACAAAAATTAGCTGGGCATGGTGGCAGGCGCCTGTAATCCCAGCTATTCAGGAGTCTGAGGCAGGAGAAGAATCGCTTGAACCCAGGAGGCAGAGGTTGCAGTGAGCTAAGATCATGCCATTGCTCTAGAGCCTGGGCAACGGAGTGAGATCCATCTCAAAAAAAAAAAAAAAAGAAAGAAAGCAAAAATGACTGACCCATTTCAGAGACAAAAGGGAATTCCCCCCTTCACGGTCAATAGCTCACCAACATCAGAGCTGAGACTAGCCCCACCTCCACCCCGTCTTCCTCCTTCTCCTGCCCAGGGAGCCTCTAGTTTCCTAGGGACAGTGCTAGGAACTAACTGCAGCAAGATGTACCATTTGCAATAGGACTAGTCCCAGAGACATGAAGACTTAAAGGAAGGCATGGGGGCAAGGCTTTCCCCTACCTAGGCTCCTCCAAGCCCTTCAAGGGACGCAGACCTCTTTTCAAGATGAGTGCCAACCGGATGCATCTTCCCTTCCAGCTGTTAAAGAGCTGTTTCAGAGATGAGAATCTGAGAACCGGGACCCTCCTCCTCTCTGAAGGTGGAAGTGCAGCAGTCCCAGTCTAGACCCTCAACCCGGTTCTACTTGGCAACAGCAGTGAGTAAAACTATTATCAGGATGGTGGGGAAAGGTCCTGTTCCTTTCTATAGCTTCTCTGCAGACGTGACCCCATAAATTACAACAGCAAAACCAGCCCTATAGTGTACTTCTGTACCATACAGCCTCATCTGCAAACAAATCCCTCCCCTCCATATTCTTATCCATGTTCTCCTTCTTTACCTTTGTGGCAGCTGATGGTTCCTGCCCACTTGCTTTGTGATGAATTCTTTCCTCCAAAACATGGGCTCACTCCTATCTCCACTGGTTCCTTTCCTTCTGCCCTGCTCTCAAATACTGGCCTTCCCTAAGGTGATACATTCTCATTCAGGGACCCTCAACTGGGGGATGGGGATTCTTCTTGTAAAAACATTGTTTGGGAGAGTCCCGGTAATTGCAGGACATTTGGCATTCCTGTCCCCTGCTCACTAAATAACAACAGTGTCCGTGGAGGACCCCATGATCTCAGCCACCATCACAGCTTCAGCAATCACCTTGTGGTCAATGGCCTCGACAATCACCACCTCCAGCCCTTATTCCCCTCCTGGTCTCAGGACCTGTCTTTCCTGTCTTCTGGTCATTTCCTCCATGCCCCAGCATGTCTCAATCTGAGGTCATCATCTCCCACTGGCATCTCCCTGATCCAACCTGCATTCTCCAGCCCAGTGATGGCACCCCAGCCGCTCTAGCACCCAGGCCACAAAGCAGGCAATCAGCCTCGCCTCCTCCCTCTCTCCAACCCACTCATCCCATCAGCCACCAGTCCTTGGGATATCACCTCTTAAAAATACCAATTTCATCTGTTTCTCTCCATCTCTGAGGACACTGATCTAATTCAGGTTCTCTCTCTCTCACCAGATTCCTGCAGTACCCTCCTCATCCTCACTGCCCCCTGCCCTTAGTATGGTCGCGCATGGAGCCAGACTGCCTGGATTCAAATACTGGCTCTGCCACTTCGTAGCTGTGCAATATTGGCTAGGCACATTAACCTCTCTGGGCCTACATCTTCTGTAAAATGGGCATAATGGTGGCTTCCTCAGAAATGACCATGTTTTATGAGTCAACACATGTAGAGCACCCAGCCCCGGGCCTGGCACTCAGTAAATCTTGGCTATTATTCGTCTCATTCTTTCCAATCTGCCCTTCACTCAGCAGCCAAAGATAATCTGACCAGGTCATGCCCACTTAATCCTCCTCAGGGGTTTCCCACCTCTCAGAAGCCCCGCTCCTGAGGCTCTGCAGATGTGTCTTCCTTTCACATTACATTCACTCTTGAACACACCTAAGCTCACACCCATAATCCTAGCACTTTGGGAGGCCCAAAGCAGGAGGATTCCTTGAACCCAGGAGTTCGAGACCACCCTGGGCAACATAGGGAGACCCTCTCAAATAAATAAATAAATAAATACACCTGATAAATCTTGCCTCTGAACCTTAGCTTAGGCTGTTCCCTGTGCCTAAGCACTCTTTCCAACTCTTCCCATCACAAGCACCTGCTCCAGTGCTGCCTCCTCTAAAACTCCTCTCCAGAACCCTCCACACAGAACAACTCTGTTGCTCTCCATGTACCCAGTCTTTTTTTTTTTTTTTTTTTTCAGAATTCCCAGAATTCAGTGCAGATCCTAGCCCCACTGCCTGCTCCCAGCAAGAGCTTCACAGAATCAAGCGGAACTCCAGCACTTCTGGGCCTCCTGGGGCCACAGCTCCTCAGCCCAGAGGGTAGGTCAGCTCCAGGCATATCTGGAGGGCCTGGAACTGTAGGGTATAGGGTGTGTTCTCTGCCCACCTCAGTTCCTGAATTTCCTCCATTAAGGAGCCTCCTCCTCTGAATCTGGGGAGGGGGTGGAGGCTGAGAGCAGTGTTATGTGCAGGGCTGCCCCGGCATGGGGGCTCCCCAAGGCAGCTGAGGACAAGGAGATGGCTCCAGGCCTTAGCCAAAGCCCTGCCACCTTCTGTGATAAGGGCTAAAAGCACAACCCAATGGTCCTAGTGGCCTCTGGGGTTCAGGGAAGGTAGCGTGGAGGACAGGGCTACCTCCTCCACACCTTCCCTCCCACCCGGGAATTCAGGGCCTTTGTTTCAGCCTCTGTTCTGCCAGGGTTGACTCTGACTTTGGGCCAAAGCTTCCCCTCTCAGGATCTGGGTCTCCTTCATCACAAGAAAGACCCTCTCCAGTTCCATCCTGTTCTAAATGCTGACTCTAGGTGGTGTCAGAGCACAGAGAATCAGAGGTCAGGAAGACCAAGGGGTTAGAGTGCACTGGAGCGTGGGAGGCAGGAGAAATTTTTTACTACCTTAAGCACATTCCTGCCTATCCCCCCTCCCTTCTTTGCCCATCACATAGAGGCTGGCCACACCTGAGAACAGAAAAGGAGACAGTTTATTGAAAACTATATACAGCTGGTCCAGCTCCTACCATGGGCTGCAATCTCAGCCAGTCCCGCCTACACCTCAGGCAGTGTCCTGGCCCCTCATGGGAGGAATGGGGCTGGGCCTAGGGCCCAGACTCCGTTGGGTGGCTTGGCAGCTGGAGCCCACCGTGATCTTTGTAAAGTACAACTCTAAGTGGCCTGAAGGTAGTGGGCAAGGGACAGGGCATGGATCCCTGCCTGACCTAGTCACAGCCTTGATAGGGGAACACTATTCTGAAACTGGGCCCAAGGAGGGCTGAGCTAAGTTGTCTGGAAGTCCTGATTGCTCCTCTCATAGGCCTTCCTAGACATGGAGGCAAACAGCCTCCCTACGACCCCACCCCACGCAGCAGGCCCCATGGGCTTCACGGGCTTGACTGGGACACCAGGTACCCTTCCTCCCAACACTGACTCAGGGTCCAGGTCTCCTGGAGCACTTCCCAAGCAGAGGACTTGGGGTTGAGGGGTGAGCGTTGGGGAGGTCACAGCTCCGGGCCCAGAACCGGAGCTTCCTGGGGTGGGGCCAGCCGTGGGGTCAGGGTGTCCCGCTATAGGAATAGTCTGCTTTGTTGTGCATCACCAGCCGGTCATCCACGAAGTAGAAGCTGTCAGACTGGGTCTCATATGGGTGGCGGATCATCTCGCTGACTGCAAGAGAGGCCCAGCCAGGCCGGGCAAAGGTCAGGAGCCTGATTCCGACCACTGCAGGGGCTTTAGGACTGGGGTTCAAGGATGGCAACAACTTGAGATATCGCCAGCCTCTTTCTCTACAGATGATATGAGACTGGTGCCAGACACAGAGCCCCAGGGTGGGGAAAAATGGGGTCAGACCCAGAAGTCCCCCTCCCTCCCATAGCTCAGTCTCTACACACCCCCCCCACATCCCCCACATCCCCACTCGCAGAAGGCCCTGCCCACGCACTCAGCTCCTCGGAGAGAGGGGGGAAGTCATAGATGTGTTCGCAGGTGTTCTTGCTGCTGGGGATGCAGAAGCCAAAGTGGAAGTCAAAGCTTTTGAGTAGCTGGTTGCGGAAGTAGTGCCTCTCGATCATTCGGAAGTTGTTGACAGGCTTGTCTCCCACGGTGAACTCCACCCTGAGCACAAGAAAAGGAGGCAAGGTTGAGTCTGTCCTTGAAGTCAGCCAGCCAGACAGGCTCAGGACAGGCCACCCCTAGGAGAGGCTGAGAAGGGCCCACTCCCACCCTCTCCCTCACCCCCTTGACCCCACCTCCTGCCCAGTGACTCACGTGGCTCCCACCTGCCTCAGACGGAGGAAGGCAGGTGTGAACTGGTAGCGGACAAAGCGCCCAGCATTGGGGTCCAGGTCCCGCCGGCTGATGGGCAACCGCTCTGCAATGTACCCCCGCTGGGGCTCAGTGGGCTTCAGGCTGGGCCCTTGTCCACCCAGGGTTCTACCCTCAGGCCCCCATCTGTCTGAATTTTTTATAACTCCCCAAGAAATTCTGGGGCACACTGAGGGGTCAGACCATTGGCCGAATAGCGCCACCTAGGGGTTCTAGGTCTGCAGGTTCCCAATTGCCACTGTGGTTCCCAGGACCCATAGGACTGCAGTTCCCAGAGAGGCCTGTAGAGGTCAGGCTGCCAGGGACCGAAGGGACAGGGCTGACTTCGGAAGATGTCCAGCCTCAAAAACAAATGGGAAGGAAAAGAAGGGGCCCCCTCTGCCTGCAGACTCCTGAGAATGCTGGGGTCCAAGCCCCAGCTCTGTGGACTCCTCTGTGGCCCAAGGAGTCCCTGGCAGCCCAGTCCACAGCTCGTGCCTGTCAATGGCTCACCCAGCCCACTCACCTGAAGCTGGGGGCTTCTTGATTTCAAAGAGGACAGTGCCTGAGTCCATGTCCCGAATCTTAAACCTGACGAAGTCGATCTTGTAGATATTCTCCTCAGGGGAGCAGAGGTAGTCTAGGGGAGACAGGCAGCTGAGCAAAGAGGGGGCCCCAAAGCCCCTGCTGCCAGGTCAGCTTGTGTGGGACCCCAGAGTAGCTACCATCTTCTCATCCCTGGGATCACTGCCCTCTGGAAAGAGGAACCTGAGCCCCTGCCATAGGGGTACACCCCCAGTGTGGAAGAGACATCACTCAGCCATGGGGATCTAACAGGAAATAAGGAGAGCCATCCCAGTGGCCTCTGGGGCCAATGAAGGGCAGGGCAGAGAAAGATGGAGGACAAGGCCACCTCCAGGACACTCTCCCTCCCGCCCTGGAGTTGATGGTCCTCATTCTGGCCTCTGCTCTGCTAAGGCTGGCTAGGTGACTTTGGGAGAACTGGATCTCCAGCCTGGTGGGAGCCTCTCCTCTCATTTGGGAACAACTTCCTGCAGTCTGACCTGCCTCTTCTACTGCAAACTCAATCTCTCAACCTCTCTGTTGCCTTTGAGAACCACACTGTAAAGGGGACCACACAGCTCTGCCTGGTAGAGTCACAGTCCTTCTCTGGAGGATACCCCTACCCTTGCCCCACGGTTGCCCCTGGCATGACATCTAGATGTGTCAGGTGAGGCTGATGTTGAGGGGACTTTTCCTGACATGGGTGGTGCTGGGGCAGGTGAACAACCCTTCCCTGTTCCTCCTCCCCTCCCAACCCCCTCCTCTCAGTAAGAGGCTTACACCAGCCCAGCTCCCTTAAGCAGCTTAACCAAAGCTCTGCTGACTCAAGCCCAGAGCCTGGGATATGGCAGGGGAGGAGGCCAACTTCACTCTCATCCTTTGTTGATCTCCAAATGGGAGGAAGTCTTAGCAAGCAGAGGGAACCCCCTTAGAGGTCATTTACACAGCCCTGGCTCTGAGCCACCTCCCCCCGCCCCGACCCCCATAGAGAAGAGAAAGTAGCCCCCGACCCCCATAGAGAAGAACACAGGCTAGGCCAGGAAGAGGGTATGGCAGGTGCAGCAGCAGTTGTGGAAGGGGTAAGGGGAGTCCTCAGGCCCAGAAGGGGAACCAAGAACAGTGGGAGGCCCTGTCTGAGGAAGCTCGGGGACCTCCAGGGCCTTATCTAACCCTCGCAGCTCTTGCAGCAGCGACTTCAAGTGCTCAGGGAGGCCCTGGCAACAAAGAGAGCTGAGAGGTGCGGGGAGGGGCTCTGGTGCTGTCAGCCTGCGCAGCATCACATCCTCCCCTGGTGGCCTATCGAGGCCCAGAAATCACCCTCCAGGCCCCTGGGCCACCTCCTAGTCCTCTGGGGCAGGAAGACGAAGTGAATATAAAGTCATTTTCTCTTCCCCAGGCCCACTTCTTCCCCAAGCCTGATAGTCTCCTCCAGGAAGCCCTTCTGGCAGTTATCTGTTACCCCGGGGCCCAGTATAGACTTTATACAGCTTGGGGAAGAGGCAGGGCCCTGAGTCTACTACAGCCCATGGGTGGGGTGGGGGGAGAATGGAAGTGGGCCACCCCTACCTCACCTTGTTCACCCTATGTTCACAGAAAGTAAGCGCCAGTATAAAGACACAGAGAATGTACAGAGCATAGGGAACGGAGGTGGCAGAGTGGGGAGCAGGATCCTAGTGCCCAGCTCTCAGATCCATAAGGCCTTTTTGCCTCCCATTCTTCACTTTCGGAGCCTCTCTCAATTAGCAACAACTTCCTGCAGTCTGATCTCAGTGCCTTCTACTGAAAACTCAATCTATCAGCCTGTCTGTCCTTAGAGGAAGTGAAGAACAGGGATGTCCATAGCTCAGAACACCATGACCATTCCTTCCCTTCTAGAAAGGATGAGGCCTGGGACCCAGGGTCAGGTCAAAATAGGGGCAGAGTGGCCAAGGGCTCAGACCACAACTGCTCTATTCCTCCCAACCATAAATAGCTTCCTAAGCTGGATTCAGGGCCCAGTAATCTGGGAACAGCAAACCTCAGACCTGTGTGATTAGGGTCAGAAGAGACCAGGCAAGGGGTGCCAGGGTGGAAAGCCCTGGAACTCGGTTCTCAACTCCTGTACAGGAAGGGGTTCCCATAAAGCCCTTCCCCCGACTTACCCTCCACAGATGCCCAATCTCTAAGGGCTAAGAATTTCCTCCAAAGTAGGAGACAAATGGCAGTACATGAGCTGGAAGCTCCCTCTAGTTGCAACATAAACCCCCAAAGTTACTCAGGACTCAGTCAGTCTCACCTCTGGACTGCCTCTGAGAAAGTTCTGCCCCAGAGCTAAGCTGAATCCTAAACGCTGCTGCTGCAGATTGTAGCCCAACTGGCTTCAACATCAGCCTGATCCAGGCCTCCTCCCTCCATTGATGCCTGCTTGGGTAAGGGAGCTCAGCACTCTGGGGGCCCAGCCAAGAATGCCTGCTGTCCAGCTCAGAAAGGAGGGAGGAGTTGGCCCCCCAGCGACTCAGGAGCACCAGCTCAAGGCTGCCTCCCCTCCACAGCTATGTCTGGGAGCCCTGGGGCTCTGCTGCTTTGGAAGCTCCAGGACTCAGATCCACTTCAAAACCTGCCCCTCATACCCACAGAGAGGAGCCCCAACAGTTATTCTCACAAAGGGGGCCAAGGCAGGTTGCTGGTGGATGAGGCCAAGGTGGAGAGCCACTGTCTCTCCATGCACTGCTCATCCTTTGAGGCTCAGCCAAGGCTTCTGCTATGAGGTTTCCTAGCCCTCGTTCCCTGCCTATGATGACCCTCTCCCCTGCCCTGAATGCCAAGTTGTTTGACTCCAGGCAGCAGCCATGTAGGGCCCAAAATACTACTGACCAAAGAGCCCAAGGTACACAGCATGCATAGATGCCAGGCACTGTACAGAATCAGAGGACTTATCTCCACAATAACCTTATGAGATAGGTATCATTATCCCCATTTTACAGTTGAAAAGACATGCTCAGAGAGGTGAGGTTACTTGCCCAAGGTCACACAGCCAATTACATGGCAGAGTTGGAACTCCAACCAGGCAGTGTAGCTCAGAAACTCTTAACCGCAGTAGAAACCAAGCCTCCCTTGATGACAGAGCCCCCAGAATAGGACAGGTGACAGTCCAGGCTTGGAGGGACGTTAAGCCACTCCCCATGAGAGGAACCACAGCCAACACACTGAAGCTGCCTGCTCAGTTTCTTTCCTGGGGAAGAAAATGGCCCAGGTCTTCCTGGAGGATTGGGGTGAGGGTATTAATGGTTGGGGAGACTTGAAGAGCCTGAACGCCTCCCAAGTAACTCAGCCTCCACTAGCCTCCACCGTGGGGGCTGAGGACAGGCTGCACTCAGCCCCTCTCCCCACATTAGTGCAGGAGCGGGCCTCATACAGCTCTGGAGACTCCACAGGGACAGGGCTACGGTTGCAGCTGCTGCCGCACCTCCACGCCGGGAAAAGGGGACGGGCCCCTCGAAAAGGAAGGAATAAATCTCAAAAGGGAGAAGAAGAGCACACAGAGAGATCAAGGGAAGGGGGTACACAGCGATCTAAGGCTTGGCGGCAGAAGGGAGAGTAGGAGACCTAGGAGAAGGGGACCCGGTGGGGGAGGGGAGGCGGGAAAGGGGGCGGGGGCTGGGGGTCGGCGCGCCCGGAGGGCCCCTCGCGCCCTCTCCCCTTCCCGCCCGCGGGCGGTGCTCCCTCGCGGGTGCTCACCACCCGTGATCCGCTGCAGCCCCAGCACGTCCTCCGGCCCGATCGGCTGCTTCCTCTGCAGCGGCCCCGGCATGGGCCCTGGGCCTGCGTCCGGTTCCGACTCGGACCCAGATTCGGATTCAGCCTGCGGCTCTGGTATGGGGGCCACGCTCGGGCCCGAGGGCCCTGGAGCGGGCTCCGCCCCCGTACCGGCCCCGCCGCCGCCCTTCTTCACCTTCATGGCCTCTCAGGGCCGCGGCTCGCCTACTGCTGCCGCCGCTGCCTGCGCCGGCTGGAGCCGGGGGAAGGGGGAGCGTCCGCAGCCCCGCCCCCGGCCGGGGCTCCAGGTACTTCCCCGCCCCTTCCCCGCCCCTGGGGCGGGCCCTGCGCTGATCCCGCCCGCCGCCCTGCCCACCCCTGTCGAATGGCCGTGGGCGCGGGGGAGGGGAGTCAGGGGAGCCAGCCCTGGGCTTCATTCTGTTTTTCTGACACTTTCTTGGTACTAGTGGGGTCCTGACTACCTCTCCGCTTACTCACTGTGTTCTAGCCTTTCTGCTCGTGAGTTCCAGGCTCAGGGTCTCTGCTTGGATGCTCTTCCCCAGATGGCCTCTTTTCTCCTGGTCACAGCTCAAATGTCATCTGCTCAAATGGTCTCCCTCAAGCTCAGTCTAAAGTCCTTCCCCCTCAGTCACCATCTCATCAGCCTCTTTTTTTATTTCTAATGCAGTATGTGAAATTATTTTTATTTGTCCGCTGACTCTTCCCCCGAAAGCTCAGCTCTGTGAAAGCACTGATCCTGCCTACTTTGTTCTCTGGAGGACCAGCACCTAGCAGAAGGCTCCCTGCAGCTGGTGCTCGAGATTTTTTTTTTTCTTTTTGAATCTGATGAATGAGTTAGTATCTCAGGTAAAAAGCAGATGCTAACAGCCTTGGGCGATCCAGCTAGGAAAGGTACATGGCCACGTGGAAGCAAGGTGGACCTGTGGGCACAGGAGAACAGACACCAGGAAACCATTGCTTACGTGTGAATGCAGAAAGAAAGAGTAAAGCTCAGACTTCATATCATTCCAATTCATATTCAGCCAGTGTTTATTAAGAGCCTAATATACGCCAGACACTTTACATGCTGATCACATTTAATCCTCACAACTGCCTTGTAAGGGAGGTATCATCAGTGCCATTTGAGTGAATGAAAATCTGAAGCTCAGAGAGATTCAACAGCTTATCCAAAGTACTCCAGACAATAAGTGCAAAAATAAGAATTTGAATTCACAACTGTTTGATTCCAAATCTGGAACTTGCTGGAACCTCTACCACACACACAGAGCACCACATCCTCAGCTGCTACCTCCTGGACTCCCATCAGACTGTACCCAACAGACAAAGCCAGCCAAGAGGGAGGGGAGTGACGGAGAAGTTCCCAGAGGTGACCAATGCCTGGCCCCTTCATAACAGCAGAGGCGAGGGCTCTCACACGGAGGTTAGGCAGAAGTGTGGAAGGGAGGGCTTTCCCATAATGCTCCCTCCTTTCAGTGCACCAGTGCGCTATGTTGAGAAATGGCGCAAAAGAACAAACAGTCCCTGCCTCAGAGGGATACAGGCAGCAGCCTTAAAGATCACACAAGATAGAGACCCGGATGATGTGCCTTTTGAGGTCCCTCTCAGTGGAGCAGGACTGAGCCAGGGGAATGGGAAAGGAAAGAAAGATGGACCCATCTTGGAGTGTTGTACTTTGGTTGCTGGAGAGCCAACAGTGGAGACTGGAGACGGCAGGCCCCATGTATGTGCTTCTCATCTAACACCACCCGTCTTGGCCAGACAGGAAGGCTTCCTATGGAGGTGCTGCCCTGCTCAGTCTGTCTTCTCAGGCTTTTTCCAGGACTTGCGGGTCTCCAGGAAGATCTTGACCAGGGAGAGGAGGATGGGCACAGCCATAGGCAGGAAGAGTGGGATGTAGATGGCAAACTTCTGGTCATCAGGGAAATAAAGGAGGTGGAGGAGTGATGGGTCAAAAAAAGCACACTCAGAGGATGTCACAGCTTCCTGGCTGGCGACAAAGGCAGATGCCAGGTGCCCAGAGGCCAACTCTTCTGCTGACTTCTGGATTGCAGCTACAGCCCTGTATACCTAGGAAGGAGAAGGAACAAGAGGGTATACCAGTAAGTCCTAGGCATTGGTGGGAAGGGTGCTGGGCCTTACTGTGCCTTCCATCTATCGAGGAAGGCACTTGAAGTTCATCTGGGATCTATGGAAGTCTGTCTAAAGGGATATGGTTTATTTTCCTAGGGTCAGCTTGAAACCTCACACTCTCATCTACACTTCTTCAGGAGAGCTGGTACTGCCGTCTAGAGGAAGCCTGGGAAGATAGCAAGCCCACTCATGACGTGGACCTCACAGACCTCTAATCTCACCATACTCTGGCCCTCTCTGGCTACTCCAGTCCTAAGTTGCAGAATCCATCCCCTGCCTGCTTACCTCAGATGCCACATTGTCCTTGATGACAATGTTGCTGATCTTGCCCAGAAGCTGTGCCAGGGAGGTGAGGGTGGTGGTGGCTGTCGCCAGGTTCTCCACTGACCGAGCCCAGAGCAGCCGGTCTAGCTCCCAGGTCGTTAGCCCTTCGCTCTTAGGCCCTGAAAGCAGGCATTTTGGAGGCACCTGGGGCTGAGCAATCCCAAAGAGCAACCTGTAGAAACAGCGGTGTAAGATCAAGGTCGCTGAGACCACAATGTGGGAGAGGATGGCTAAGATTTCTCAAATACCTGTCCTAAGCCAGTGATTTTCAATCCTACCCAGAACCACAGGGGTTAAAGGGAAGTACTTCAGGGCTTTGGGGTATAAGCGGCAACACCAAGAAAGTCAGCCGCAAACCCCACTATTCCAACCGGTGCTTCTGCTTCTACCTGTTTCAATATTGCACTTCCAAGGTCTTGTTTTTTAAAAAAAGTTCCATGGCTAAAATACTTCTGATAAACCCAACTTAGTTAATCCTTTCACCTGCTCTACCCTCTCTTTGAACAAATGGGGCCAATGGGACTTAGCATTAAGGGATGATCCAGGACTGCCTTTGCCAAGGCACATGTGCTATGCTTCTCTAAGCCTGCATGTGTGACAGACACCGCTAGTCAATCAGAAGAATACTCTTTCCTAATGAGCCCAGATACGGCCTTAGAATCCTCAACACAGAGCCTCAGGCAGCCACTCTCAATCTGTCAGGCAGCACAAGAATTAACAGCTATTGCCTTAAGCAGCCCTAATCCCGCCCCATGGGCCTGACATTCATGAGTCTATTTTTCTTAGAACTGGTTTTGTCACCTACTAGTCCTTCTTAGAAAAAGGAGGATGGAATCCTTAGAAACCCTTCTTGGTTTCCCTGGGGCACTGGGCACAGCCAAGATATCCCTGCCAGGTAAGGTTTGATTCTACTTTGCAACTCCCCTCTGCAGCCACGGAGACTATGTCCCCAAGTGGACCATCCAGGACCTCACCGCAGCTGAGCCAGAAACACCTCCATCACTCGCACCATGTCCACCTCGACTCTCACCGGCAGCGCTGAGGCGTTATAGGCTTTGGAGTCGACATTATATACCTGAAAGGGGGATGCCACAACATCATACCAGGCCATGCACCGCTCTGCCCTAGGCACTCTGGAGAGAAAAGGAAGACATATTCTTTGCTCTTTAGAAGATATAAACCTCATGGTATACAGGAAGGATTAAATAAATTATCCCAATTACCCCCTTGAAAGTCCTGTAGAACATTTTTTTTTTATCCCATTGTAGAATTCTCCCCCATGAGAAACTCCCAGTCTAACAAGAGAGACAAGGGCTCCCAGCCTTGCAAGACTCCCACAAATAAGGCCAAGATCTAAGAAGGACACAGAATGATCCCTGGTAAGGGCAAAGGGCCATAGCATAGAACAGACTGGTGGAAACAAGAGTGGGGTCTGCAGAAGAGAGGCATGAGCACATGGCACCCTCACCTCTCTGCCTGCTCCTACCCCAAGCTGGGCCATGGAGGACACCAGAAGGAAAACAGAAGGGACACAGTTTCAGGGAACACCTGCCTGTCCCAGAAGCATGGGCTCTGGGATCTGCATAGTGTGACTATTACCATAATGCCACCCCAGCGGGGACTGTGAAAGGCATTGGTGGCCACTGGAGCGCCATCTTTGTCCTGAATGTACAGCGGGGAGTGGGCAAGCTCAGGAACATAGAGTAGAAAGTTGAGCACAGGGTACAGGGAGGCAGCGCTGGATCCTGGTAAGTATAAAGACAGGGAAGGCAGAACATCAAAACATGCTGGACCTGGACCCAGTCCCAGGTCAGCCTCTAACTTGCTGGTCACTCACTCTGGGACTGATTCCCCAACTAACAATCACTAAGGTATCCTCCTGTCCTGGCTTTCTATAGTAAAGGGCTTCAGAATGTTCTCTGAGATGTGCCACACAGATGGAAACATAGTCCTCAGCTCCAAAATACTCCTCAAAGGCCCATTGAGCATCTAAGGCAGCTTTCTTGGCCACTGCCACAATGTACCCATGTTAGTACAGATAGTTTTACGCAAACCAGAAATCTGACTTTATGTCAGTTCCCTGCTTAACATCCTTCAATGGCTAGCCACCATAACAGGTTAAAGTTCAAACTCCTTAACATGGTCCTTCATGATCTGGCTCTGCCTGCCTTACCAGCTTCATCTCTGGTCATCATTTACATTTCAGCCACACTAAACTACTCTGAGCTTCCTAAATGCCTATGA